AAACACAAAAATATGCAAGCACAGCGTGACGATGTCATCACACTTGGTGCCGCCTTTGAACCCTTCACTGTGCTCTCGTGAGAAATGAGTGAACAAGGGAAAGGAAACCTTAGCGGCAGCCTGCAAATCGCAGTGACCTCGTGGAGCCCTCAAGGGATCTCGGGATGCCCCAGGGTCCCTGGAGCACATCTTGAGAACCACAGCTCTGGGAGAATGACCCGAATCTCCGAAGCAGAGAGTGCTGGAGCCTTTTAGTGGTGCCCCTTGTGAAAGAGGCTCCTTCATGATGGCATTGCCCCTACCTGGAATCCTCCTCTCCCTTTCTTCCCTCACCTAGACCCAGAGCTGCCTGTGTGCCCATGTTCTGGCCAAGTTCAGGCTGAGCTGAGTGGCACAGCTGCGTCCCCTCACCTGTACTCATGTGGAGGGAGGATGGCCGGAGTTTGTGCAGGATGGAAAATGTTTGTAAAAAAAAAAACCTCAGTGGCCACATGGCATGATTGCAACTAAGGATGTGTGGCAAACGGGCAGTTTCAGTGACCGCCTTTGCCATGTCCGTGCTGGTCTGGTGACATAGTAGCTTCCGCTAAGTGAGTAGAAAGTGTAACGGTGAAGCGGCAGCCGCACTTGTATCAGTGAATGGGTATGTGATGGAGGCCGAAGTTTGAGAGAGGTGAGGCCAGCCTAGCTTGTGGAAGGGACAGGCTTGGGGAGCCTTTGACTCCTTAGGCACGTCATTTAACCACACAGATAACATCAGCTCTCCCTTCCTTCCAGGATCTGGTGGAATATGTACGGGAGCTCACAGTGACGGCTCAAAGGTGCCATCAGAAGTTCTGGCCTGCAGCTTCTGCTGAGGCTAGGTTTTATAGAATGCTCCAGTTCTCAGGCAGCTGGCAAGACTTCCTCTGGCTCTGACTTTAAAGCTGCAACCAAGAAGCAGGTGGTCATGAAACAGCCCTCTCAGATATTTGCAGGGAAAGGTCATAGAAATACTTTAGGTCATTGTGGTTAAAAGTTTCCTTTCTTTTCCAAAGTGATGAGAGCAAACTTGATTCTGACAACCTGGGGCAACCCTGGTGTACCTGTCGGTCTCAGTGAGGGTCGGAATCACAGTGGGTAACTAAGGGAGTCTTACTCCCACGATCCCAACCTTTACCGACCGACACAAAGCCTGATGACAATGGACACACAAGCCACACCATCATATTTTCCCTGGAGGAAAGTGTGACAAAATAAGGGGTGTGCCCATGTGGGGGAGGTGGAGAACAGCTTGTAGGCGAGCGGGTTTATTCTGTAAGAATCGTCTCTCTAGTGTTCTCTGATGGAGCTGGTTTAAAATTGTCCCCAGTAATTGGCTATAAGCTGAATCCTGCTACAAGGTTCACCAGAACTTGTCATTAGCGAGGTGACCATGTGCAGGGCCAGCCTTGGCTAGGGGAAGCCTGCCTGTGACAGGGAGCAGGCTGTGCAGAGGCAGGGTTCTCTGGCTGGAGTCTGCAAGGCCGGTGCTCACGTCCTGAGGATGAGTGGCCGAGCGCGGTGCCACCTGGATGCTTACATCTCTTATCTCCACTGCTACAGCGTAGGTTCAGGGCGGGTCCCCGGGCTTCAGTGTGTGCTTGTGGTGGTGGTGTGGGAACTGGCAGATGGCTGGTGTGTGTGATGGAGCTAGCTTAGGGAGACAGGCAGCAAAAGCAATGCGCGTGTATTCAGGTGGGAGAAACTTAACCTTAAACAAGAGCAAGAGAAAGAAGGTAAATGAATATTCATGTCTTTGATGTCAAAATGTCATCATTTTATGCTATTGCTTTAGAAATGTTTAGAAAGATTTTATAGGTTTTCTTGTTTTGGTGACTTGATCATTCAATAGAATAAATATCTATAAAATTCCAATTAAATGGTGTCTAAAATATAAAGCAGCAGTCCAAGGCAAACCGCTGTTTCCTTTTTTAAAAAAAGATATTTATGATAACATCGAGTATTTTAAATCAACCAGAAACTAGACTTGACTCTGTTTAATATTTTATAAGATTGGGCATCTTAAATCAAGTCAATAATGTTTATATTTTATATCCATTCTGTGTTTATTCAAAACCATAATTCTACTGTAATGTTAATGGAATGACTTTATATGGCTTTACCTGTGTTGGCTTAAGTGCTAATTACCACATTTCAAATTAAAATAGTATTTTGCTAATAGAGGGGGGCACAGATCGGTAATATGGAAGAGATGGTTTTACTATTGTAAAGTTTCTATTTTAGGAAAAATGTGTTTTTATTTTATTTTTGTTTTGTTTTTAGAGCTGTGAGGAAAAAAGGGGAATTTTTCCCAAGGGTTTAAGATAGTGTTCTGTATTATTGGGGGGGAATTGGAACTTGTGCCTATGGAATTTTTGGAGCAGCCTAAGCTACCTTTTAGCTTGATTTGTGTGCTAGAAATATTTCATTATCATGTTTTGTGATCTGTAATAAATTCAGGGTGCTGTGCTAAAGCTTCGTTCCAATTCAAGTTTGGAAACCTCTGTTTCCCTCACTTCCAACCCTGGGGGACACCTCTCCCCCTCCCCAGATCACATGTGAAAGAGTCAATCAGTTCCTATGAGATGCGCTTTTTCTCCTGCGTGGAGCAAGTAAACTATAATCACGATTTCTAAACCTGTGTTTTTATGTCTGGGAAGAGCGATGCTTTCTCTCCTCCTTCAGTGTCTCTTTATTAAATATGTTGTCATTATTTGTCTTTGAAAGTGGCATCTGGGGCCACCTCTCAGCCTTCCCCATGGTTTATGTTGCCCCCCAATTCTCTGTCCGTGTCTGTTCACTTGCACTATCTTGTCGACTGAATCCTCATCCCGTGTGCCCTTGACGTGCTGGAGACCGTTTTTGGTTTTACTCTGCAGTTATGTTATAATGTATTTCAGTGAAATGTCAATCCGCCCTCAGAGGATGATGTTCAAAATTATCCAAATAAATAGTTTTCTATTTCTTCTAATCACACCTAGTCCAATCGGTTTAATGACAGCACATAGGGGTGTCTGTTGTTTAAACTCGGGTTTCTCCTGGGTCCTGCAGCCTTGTAACAGAGGAATGCACATCATTTACTGGTGGTGGTGACTTCGGTGCTTTGTAACCCGTGTCTGTTTTGTGGAGACAGCAGATGTCTCAAGGAGAGTCTTATGTATGGGACCCTCAGACATGTAACACGACTTTTCTCCTCATTGGTCTGGAATCAGACAATGGCACCCTCACTCTGCTCGCCATCCCTTGATAATTGAACCCTGGGAAACTGAGTAAGCAAATTTCTGGCTGTGTCTACTGTGGGGTAGGACCTTCTTCACACACATGCAGCTGTGCTGTGTGAGAGGGCCTCCCGGCATAGCACTAGTTGCCTTCTGGATGTTTCCGTGATAATGGTCACTGGGTCACACGATGTATGAAACAAAACGGTAACATCCTTCTGGATGTTTCTGTGAAAATGGTCACTGGGTTGCACAGTGTATGAAACAGAAAATGATAACATCCTTCTGGATGTTTCCATGAAAATGGTCACTGGGTCGCACAGTGTATGAAACAGAAACAGCTGCAACCACCGGTCTACAGAATGGTTCACATCAACCCCGACCAGTGTGCCGTTTTTAACAGACTCATCTCACAGACTGGGTGCGTTTATGGACGAGGACATCTTTTCTGACTTGACTTTTGGGATTTGACTTTATAACGTCACCACCACCGGTGTCTGCAGGAGACCAGTTCTGAGCAGGGGTCCCAGCCCTGTAGCCCCAGTCCTGTGCCCCCCCTCCCTGCCCTGCACCATGGCTGGGCGTCCATCCCTCATGTGCACATCTTAGGTGTGGCCGTTGTGCCTTGTCGATGTCCTTGCCATCACCGTCCTCCTGTGGCTGTTGTGGGAGAAGGACTGGGAGGCAGTCTCATTCCGTAAGGAGCTGCCCCTCAGCCCAGTCCTCCTTTGCAGGCCAGCCAGAGGGTGGAGTAGCAGCTGAGGCAGTGCCTCCCAGATTGGGGACCTTTGGCCCAGGAGCGGGGAGCGAAAGCCTTGTTAGGGTGCAGGTGTTTTGTGGAGAAGGATAAGGTAGTTGGACAGACCCGGCTAGCCTTTAAGTCAGCGTGCAATTTTTTCTGAAACTGGTGGTTAAACCGTCACACTCCTCTGTGAGCTGAAGACCACACCTTCCCCCATATGTCATCTGTAAGCACCCAAGTGTCTCCCTAAGGAAGCTGTGAATGATGCACGGGCTTCTCCCAGGCTCTGGCCCAGCAGAGCGGGCTCAGGAGGGGCTGCAGAGTGTCAGGGGAGCCAGAGGACTCATCTGGTGGCTGCGTGGTCTTCAAAGAGTCCACTCCTCCACTAGCGGGTCCTGGGCCCACACACAGGTTCCAGGCGAGGCTCCTGGGATGGCACCGAGGCTGCGTGCACAGCAGCCTGGCTCGTGTGTATGTCGATCCGTCTGTCCTGGTCCTGGTGTGCTAGCGACTGCAGTGTGTTGTGTCACTCGTTCCATGGCTTTTTACAGATCCAGTAGCCCCAGCGGCTGCAGGGTCTGCCTGACCTCTGACACATGCTCCTGGGCTTCCCCTGTCCTGGATGCAGCCAAGGGGTCTTTACCACTCTCCTGGCAGAACCACAGGCTATGCCCCTTGCCCTATGCGGGGCTCCTTCTGGGGCTGCCATTTACACAGGGGCCATGCTCTTGGCCTTGGCAGACTCCCCACTGGTTACCAGGCAACGTGCCCTGCAAGTAGGGTATTTGCCAGGGAGGTTCCTGGGCTCAGGCCTCAACAACCCAGCCTGGGACCACTGAGCTCCCAACCATACCAGGCAACCCTTCGGCTGCCTCCACTTACCCTCCGTCAGTTCCCTGGACTGGCCTTTGGAGAAGCACCCCTCCCATTGCCGACTCAGGCAGGGGCAAAGCCACGCCCCAGGCCAGACCCAGGGCCCATGTGCCGTCTAACCTGTTCTGCCCTTTCCATTGGTCTAGGCGGGATTAAGGACACTGCATGACATCGGGCCAGAAATCCGGCGTGCTATATCATGTGATTTGCAAGATGACGAGGCCGAGGAGACGAAAGGAGATGACGAAGATGTATACAAAGTAATTATTCCATAGGGCGTACACACCGGCCACCTGGAGATAGCAGGGCAGGACTGCAGTCGGGGCACTTAATGATCCACAGGACAAGCTGCAGGATGCGCACTGGCCCTGAGGTCCAGAGGCTCTCCCAGCCAGGCCCTCTCCACTCACTCACCCCTGCCCTCCCAGCACCTCTCCTGGACCAAGCCAGCTCCTCCCTGGGCAGCCTCCCTGCCCTCCCATTGTTAGCTTCCGAGGAGCTCAGCCACAGCCGCTGGCCCGTGTGGACGAGCACCCTGGTCCTTCCAGCAGCTGCCCACACTCCCCTCCTTCTTCTCTGGGCCAGGTCTTTGATCTGCCAGCCAGCCCTCAGCCCCCCAGCCCGAAGGGCAAGCCTGCCATGCAGCCTCGGGGCTGCCCACCCGTCCAGCCGGGTGTAAGTCACCTCAACCTGGAGCAGCGGGAAGAGCCCCTTGAGTGCCAGCTGAGAGCTTGCACCCCAGCTCAGGACTCGGTAACCTTCCTCATTCCAGGGGGGACCAGCCGCCACACAGACACATTCGCCCTGGTCGTTGAGATGCTCAGGTGGTCTTACAGGGATCCTACACAACGTACCTAGGGTTTGTTTTTCATGTAGGAAAAAAAATGACCTAGCATAGCTAGCCTGCATCAAATACTTGTTAAATTACCTGGTGTTGTCTCCCATTATTTTGCAGAGAAATGGTGCCCTGCTTGGAAACCATGTCAATCATGTTTATAGTGATAGGAGAGATTCCCTTCAGCAGACCAATACCACCCACCGTCCCCTGCATGTCCAAAGGCCTTCAATTCCACCTGCAAGTGATACTGAGAAACCGCTGTTTCCTCCAGCAGGAAATTCGGTGTGTCATAACCATCATAACCATAATTCCATAGGAAAGCAAGTTCCCACCTCAACCAATGCCAATCTCAATAATGCCAATATGTCCAAAGCGGCCCATGGAAAGCGGCCCAGCGTTGGGAACCCTGAGCACATGTCTGAAAATGGGCATCATCCCTCCCACAAACATGACCGGGAGCCTCAAGGAAGGTCCAGTATTAAAAGGTAACCTTTCAAGTGCATTTGCGCCTGGTAGGGCTGTGTCTGGTTGTGGTGACGCCAGTCCCAGGGAGTGAGGTGGGTCCCTCTCCTCTGTGCTGGCATGTGGGGAAGCTTCCCTGTAGGCATTTGCATTAGAACACGTGGGTGCTAGCAAGTGAGGGACCTCAGGATAAGGGCCCCACCACCCTACATCTTGCTATGCGAGGTGCCCCTTAAAACAGCACAGCAGGGACCAGCAGATGGCATAATGGTTACGTTGCTGGACTCCCACATGGCCGACCATGGTTCGAGTTCCACACTCGGCGGCTTTAAACTCACGCCAGGCACATGTATGTGCGTGTGTGTCCAAAGGAGGAGGAGGAAAAGGGATTGTGGCATGGCCATCCCGCCTGGGGGGGTGATTTCTCACTTTCTGTCTCTCCAGTAAGTACACATACCCTGTAGCAACAGTTTCTCTTAAAAACAAACAAACAAACAAAAAAACACCGACAGCAGCAAAATCCACCCTCCCCATTTGTGGGGACGTATTCCAACATGGAGGGTGAGTTTTTTCTGTAAAGGGCCAGAGAGAAAATATTTTAGGCTCTGAGGGCCATCAAGTTCCTCTTGTAGCTACTCAGCTCTGCAGGGGCCGTCCCAGAGCAGCTGTGGACATTTAGTAGGCAAGCAGGTGGGCCATGTCCTAGCCAACCGATACTCACACACTGACGTGGGCACTGCATATAGTCACCTTTGAGGAAGTATTTTTTATTTCAGTCCTTTGTAAATTAACTGTCCATAGCTCATGGGTCATGTAGAACAGTGGCAGCCCGTGTTTGGCCAGCGAGCCATAGTTCACTGCCTCTAGGAGGTATCTGCTGTCTGCATTCTCAATGCTGTTGGAAATATTTACCTTTTATCTTCTCCCTCCCTCCTGTGTGACGCCTTTCCTGGATAGAACGCGCTATTATGAAACTTACATTAGGTACGTGCTCACTGTGTGCTTGGGATTAAATACTGTGGTGTTTGTTATGTTACCTACCGGCCCCCTGGAATTCTAAAGCATGAGAAAAATGTCTTCGAGCCCTCTGATCTGATAGGGGATCGTAATTCAAAGCAGTGGGTTCAGGGGTCAGAGGGCATTGCTTCTTTCTAAGCAAGGGCTTGCTGATCTGAGTCTGCGTAGACTGTTGCTACCCGAGGACTGGTCCCCCTGCCAGGCGTGCCCCACACACTTCGTCCTGCGGGATTCCTGCTTTTAGGAGAAAATTGTGTGCACTTGCAGGGGGCCAGGGCCTGGGCAGGGCCACTCTGGCTGCTGTATGGGCTCAAGCTTCTCCCAGGCCCTCTGTAAAAGCCTGGCCCAGACCTTGCAAAGACCGGGAATCTGATCTTCCCTATAGGCCACCCTAACATGTGCAGTAGCTTCTGCTCCAGGCCTGGGGACCTGAGTTGTGGGTAGAATGGCCGTTCTGTAAGGGCAGGGGAGGGGTCTTCAGTTTTCGTTATGGAAGTGAGATCAGCCCAGGTAGTGTGAGAGTGACACACTCTGAGAACACATGGCCCTTCCTGTGGAGGCGGGGTGACATCCCTGAGCCCGGCTGGTTTTCCAGAAGATGGAGCCAGGAGGGCCAGGGTTCAGGGAGACCTTACGGTGGTCCTGGGGCAGGGCGGCCTTTAAGAACGTGGCAGATGTTTCCGTGAGAGTCTCCCCTGTGACATGTGTATCGCCCCCACTGGTGGGATGCAGTGGAAGTCAGTGGTTCTGAAGCCATGCCGGGCTGCAGCTGGCAGAAGGGGCATCAGAGGGGACAGCCGGGAGCCCAGGGTCTTTATGTCAGGACCCTCGACCGCTGTTTGTAGTACGCCAGGTCTGTGGCCCTGCTCTCCAAGTGGCGTCTACACCTTTGGTTCCAAGGTCTCTGGGCACAATGCATTGTATAGGAGACTGAGAGAGCCCCCCTTCTTAGTTCATGCACACACACACTTACACATGCACACACATGCTTACACATGCACACAGCATGATCGCAGAGACCTGGATGGTCCTGCCGGCTTGAGACAGATGCAGACAGGGAGGAGCCTGGGGCCCTTTGGCAGGGACGTGGGAGGCACAGCTGTGGGAGCCGCCCGCCACCTGCCCAGGCTCTCAGAGGCTCTGTCCCCACTGCAGGTCTGACTCAGGAGATGAACAGTTCCCAACTATTTGCCGGGAAGACCCAGAGCTCCATGGCTACTTCGGGGACCCCCACTGCTGGGGGGAGCAGGAGTATTTCAGTAGTGAGGAGTGCTACGAGGATGACAGCTCACCCACTGGGAGCAGGTGAGGAGCCCTGGCTTGTGTGGACAGCAGGAGGCCACCCTTGTCCCCTGCTCCTTTGTGCCCTGCCTGCTCTGGAAGCCGAGGGCACCTGAGGCTGCATTCGGGCCTCTCCTGAACGGCAGAGCAGAAGCACATGCTCTAGGCCAGAGTAGGAGGCAGAGCCAGAGCAAGGCAGAGTGAGGCTGTTCCTTCACGCCCAGTGCCTCCTTCCTTGGGGCCTTGGCCCTTCACAGGGGACTCTGGGTTTCCTTCCTCAGCCTTTGCTCACACCCCGTCTGCTGCTTAGATGCTGTCACCCCTCCCCACTGGTCGCATCCCACCCTGTCTGCAAAGCCTGCCCTGAAGCCCTCACCCCTTCCCACTGGCCATCCCACCCCTTCTGCAAGGCTTGCTCCAGAGCCCTGCTTTTCTTTGCTGTGACTGGGATTGAAATTCCCCCACCACCCCCTGACCATGCCCTAGCCTCTCCCAGGACCGGCCTCTCTGACTCGTGTCCATGAGCGCCGGCATTTCCCAAGCTCCTTGCTGTCGGACACCACGTTCCACGTGTCTGTGTGCCCCTGGGGCTCAGCACCTGGGAGACGGCCGGTCCTTGGGGGCATTTCGGTGAGGAAATGAGCAGACCATAGCCAGGCTCACTGGGTGTCTGTAGCCATGAGGCCGAGCTGCCACAGGGAGAGCCTGACCAGCCTCTGGGGCATATGCAGCCCTAAGGCCGAGCTGCCACAGGGAGAGCCCGACCAGCCTCCAGCCTGAGCCCTCCGTGGGGCCCTCACTGTCCATCTTGACCCTCCGTGAGACTGGGAATCCCCTGTTCTCAGCTCATCTGCTGTGTCTGGGGGACCTGGGTCCGTCCGCACTCAGAAATGTGGCGTGCCGACTCAGACCTCACGTGCCCTCTGTCTCCTGGCCCTTCCCGGCTGCTAGGCACAACTACGGCTGCTACAACTGGTACCCAGGCGGCAGTGTGGACTTCGAGAGGCCCCGCGGCTACCATCACCCCCAAGGCTTCTTGGAGGACGACGACTCGCCCGTTTGCTATGACTCACGGAGATCGCCAAGGAGACGCCTGCTACCTCCCACCCCAACATGTGAGGCGGCTCTGCCATTTGGGTGGAGCCTCCCAGAGAATTTGCGGGCATGTGACGGGCGTGTCCTGCCATGTCAGGGCCCTTAGTCCTCACGCCCAGTCCCTGGTCAGAGCAGATGGCTTTCTCCCTCCTCTGTCTCCCCGAGGGAGACCTCACACCACCCAATGCTGCTCGTGACTCCCTGAGACAGGCAGCACACGGCCCTGCAGTTGTGCATTGGCAGGTGTGTGCACACACACCTGATTGGGAGCCACTGATGTCTCTGGCCTCGAGCCTGGGACTCTGAGAGGTGGACAAGACATGGGACCACCCGCTGCCACCCACTCTGCTCTACGGCATGATGGGGAAGCGAGCCCCGGGGCAGCGAGGAAGAACCTAGCTGCAGAGCAGGACTACCCCAGGCCTGTCTTGGGGGCCAGCTGGGAATTCTTGGTGGCCGTCCCTCCTCAGCACCTTCCTGGGTGTTTTCTCTCCTTCTCTCTCCTCTCTGCCTCGTCTGCTGGAGCTCTTGCTCACAGGGCAGGTTCTGACTGCCAGGGTCACCTGTAGTGCAGGCGTGCCCCCCTGGGCCAGGAGCCATTCCGCCGAGGGGGCTTCCCTGTTTTCCTTCCACAGCAGGGGGCGATGGGCACTGTCCTATCTGGATCACCCCGAGGGAGCCACTGGGGCCAGGCAAGGAAGGGCAGCCTTGGCTCTGCCAGCTATAGGTTGGGCATGGATTTTGGACATGGGGGCATTTTGATGATGCCTAAAGAATATCCACTTCTGGTGTTTTGGGGGAATGAAGCGTTATTTTTGAGTGGTAACCAGAAATAGCTGAGACGCACCGGCTCGTGTCTGCCAGCAGCACGCAGGATAAGGAGTATGGTGGAGGGCACCAGGGCCTTGGCCCTGCTCCAGCTGTCACAGCCCTGCAGGGAGTGTCATCAGACCCACTTCCATGGTCGATATTTAACTTCTTAGCCCCAAACACTTGCTATTGAATGGAGCCATTTGTTCCCCCCCAAAAACACTGGATGAGGCGTGTGCAGGAGAAATCAGAGGAAGCCCCATCCTGGCAACTTCCACCGCCTTCCTCAGGCCTCTGCCTTTGCTATTCAACTGCCCAGCCAGCCTGCGAGCACGTGGGCGCCCACCTAGCACAGGTGCTGCCCTGGTGCTGGGAGGGGCTGAGCAGGAAGCAGCAGCTGCCCTCGTGTTTGTGAGGGGGTCCGCCTCACTGCCCATCAGCTCAGACCCTGGGCAAGGATCCTCGTCTCCTCGGCCTATACCTCCGCTATCTCAGCAGGGTTGCTTCCTCCTCCCCAGACTGTCAGGCAGAGCACTCGAGATGACGGGCATGTGGAGGCCGTCTCAGAACTAGAAGGCACTGGACACATCCTAGAAGGGATGGTGGTTTTTTCTCCTGGCTCTGAGCCTCTGGCCCTGCCACTGGACCCTGGGTCCTGGGGGTTGCTAGCAGGGAGGCCTCTCATCCTTCCGAGCACTCTATAATTGAAGCTGCTAGGTTGTGCCTGGCAGGAAGGCTCTCGATACAGGCAGCCTGAAGAGGCAGCCCCAGAGTGCTCCACGGTGCACACTGAGCCGGGTCCAGAGTGGCCAGCCAAGGGCTCAGCCAGCTCGTCATACAGAACCCAGTTTCTGGAGCCTCATGTGCAGCCCTAGAACACCTGGGAGGCCCCTCAAGACCAGTCCCTGAGGTTTTCCAAAACAGGAATTAGGGCATGCAGGGTTTTGCAAGCTTGGAGAGCACAGATGACAAAAGGTGCTGTGGAATGACCCAGCCACTGCCTTGCAGACTGCAGGTGGGGTTCCCTGAAGCTGGTCCCTGCTAGGGTGCAGGGATCTGGCTGTGTCATAGGGTCCCAGAACTCAAACTTATCTCATGGGCCTGGAGCCCTTGGAAGTGGAGAGCTGTGAACCGTGTTGTCTTTGAAACTGCCGTTAGTCGGACAACCGTGTTCTCTGAGTGAGAGCCGTTGGGATTGTTCAGTCTTCAGTGCTAGTGAGGCTGAGTCTTTCTCTGCACAAGAATTTGCCTGTTACCTGGCTGAGTAGGCCAGAGGAGCTAGACCCTCCCCCCTTAAAACAGAGATATAAACACAAGAGCCCCAGCAAGATCTCTTGGCCCCCAGAGACACCTAGGGTGTCTGAAAGCTGACAGCAGGGCAGTTGGGACACATCGGGTCTTAGATGAACGTGTGTACTGGCCCCGAGTTGGCGTCCCCACGATACTAGGGCCAGGCCTCTGACTTGGTACAGCTGCTGTCGGGCAGTCTTTGTTCCTCCTGAGGACAGGCCAACGTGTGGGAGAGTTGTACCCGAGTGTACCATCCCTCAGGTGGGCTTCTTCCTTCATCTTCCCCCATGCCGAAAGTGTAGGGGCCTCACTGTCCCTTGCCACCCCTGTTTCTTCCTGGGTTCCCTGCTGGTGTACAAGGGCCACCCTGCCTCCTGGGAGGTGGCACCCAGCCATGAACTTGCTTCACAAAAGCTTGATGTGCTTCGACTCCCCAGCCCACCGGAGGTCCTCCTTCAACTTCGAGTGCCTGCGCCGCCAGAGCAGCCAGGAGGAGATGCCGCCGTCCCCCGCCTTCCCCCACCGCACGGCCCTGCCTCTGCACCTGATGCAGCAGCAGGTGAGCACCTGATGGGCACCCTGTGGCCGCCCCACCCTGAGGACACTGCGCCCCACCCCCGCACCAGGAGGGAGAGCACCTTCTCCAGCAGCCTGGCTCCACCTGGTGACCACCCTGCCTGCAGCTGCTGTCACCAGCCCCGCCCTCAGCTCACACAGGCGGGGAGGCACAAGCTGGTGTTGGAGCCAGGGCACCAGCTTCCAAGGCTGGCCTCAGCTCAGGCACAGGGCCTTCTCTCCCCCGTCTTTCCTCGGTGTGCAGCCCCCATGCCCCAGGGAGAGTGGCCTCTCCCCTGCCGCAGTGTGGGGCACTCACTATCCGCGCTTCTATTCATTTGCTTGGGAGGTGGCTCCAGGGAGAAGGAGCTGCCCTCATTCTGGATGGAGGATCTGGGCCTGCAGGGAGGGCAGGGTGGAGCCCACTCACCAGGGCTTGGCCTCAAGGTCAACATGGTACTTTTTTCTCTCTCAGAGCGCCATGTCAGAAATGTCCGTGGGGTGGGGAGGTGGGCGGGCGATCCCAGTGCACGTGAGCACCCAGGCAGCCGGCAGAGCCAGCTCTCCCTGTAAAGGCCTTACCTCAAGGGTCCTGGGTGTGTCAACACTCAGCTGCAAAGTCGGTTTTATGGGGGTGGGGTTTGTGTGTATGTGTGTGTGTGTGTGTGTGTGTGTCCACTTTTGCCAAAGTGCATAGGTACGTCTCAGAGACAGACAGAGAAAGCAACCCCTGTGGGCCATTCACACTGCAGTTCCATCTCTTCCATTCCTCCCTCCTGTTGGGATTTGGGGTGCATGCGCACACATGCTCAGCATGTTTTTCAAGCTGCTGGGGCCAGGATTTGAACTGTGCAATTAGCCATGAGGATCTGGCTCCCTCAACCCCCAGGCCCCAGGGTTGGCCCCACAGCTCTCTACCAGCTTTTAACTTCTCTGCCTTCACCTGTTAAGCCAATTTCTCCTCTGTCCTAAGTTGTGAAAGAAGGCAGACGTTCGGAAGTCCCAGGCCATCAGAGGTCGTGAACCAAGAAGGCATGGAAGTCTAGAAGGGGCACCTGAGCCGGGAGTCCAGGAGCGAAAATGCACTCCTCTCTCCTGCTTGGTACCAGCCAGGCCCAGATTTCTCAGCTTCCTTCCTGGGGTGGTCATGGCTTCCATGGGGCTTCGGACCTGTGCTGTGTACACAGACCGGCCTTGGCATCCCCCTCTCGGGTGGGAATCTCAAGGTAGCTGTGCTGTGGGGACCCGAAGGTGTTGGAAGCAGGGCTAGTGGTAGGGCTGGGGGGCAGCGTGCTGGTACAGGAGGAGCTGTGCTGGTGTGGGGAGCGTGGCCTTCCCCTGAACATGGCCGGTTTTAAACCCAGCATGCAGTGGGGACATTCACAGACCATAGCTTGTTCAGGAGCTTCTCAATCCCCCTTGAGGTGGAGGCCATTCCGTGAGGTATGAGACGCAGTATGTGAGATACACAGGGATTTCAGAGACGAGAGCACAGGGTGCCAGAAATCCGGGTCACTTGAGCTACCCCGGTGCACTGGCCTCCTTCCGAGTCCTGTCCTAGGCTGCCCCCGAGACCAGGTCTGCTCAAAGAAGGCGTGAGGCTTGACCCCTGAGGACCTGACCTACCCATCTCCCCTCTATCCTCAGATCATGGCCGTGGCAGGCCTGGATTCGAGCAAAGCGCAGAAGTACTCACCGAGTCACTCAACCCGGTCATGGGTGACCCCTCCTGCGACCCCTCCGTACCAGGACTGGACACCATCCTACACCCCCCTGATCCAGGTAGAGAGATCAGAGTCCCTGGACCAGGTCAATGGCAGCCTGCCGTCCCTGCACCGCAGCTCCTGGTACACGGACGAGCCCAGCATCTCCTATCGGACGTTCACACCAGCCAGCCTGACCGTCCCCAGCAGCTTCCGGAACAAGAACAGCGACAAGCAGAGGAGCGCGGACAGCTTGGTGGAGGCAGTGAGTATGGCCCCTGCCACGTGGAAGGGAGGGCGGGCTCCACGGACAGCAGGGGAACCAGCCAGGCGGAGATGGCGGCAGCCACGTGGGAGGGCGGAGCGAGTCCAGGCCAGCATCACCGGTTCTCGTCAGCCGGCCTGGATCACGCGGCTGCCCTGCACACATTCCCGCGTCATTCTAGCCACCCCCGCTCCCACCAGTGGCTTCCCCCCTGTGGGACCCAGTGTGGTTTCTCGGCTCTGTGACTTTTGGCCAAAAGCCAGCTCTGTTTGGTCATCCCACATGAGGTCTAGTAAACGACGCCAGGCCGAGTGCCCAAGCCCATCATGCTGTTGGGGCCTGAACTGGCGCCCCTGCCCAGCTCCCACAGAGCCTCGGGATGCATCCTGCCCTCGTCCTCTTCCCGCACAGGTCCTGATATCCGAAGGCTTAGGCCGCTATGCGAGGGACCCAAAGTTTGTCTCAGCGACAAAACATGAAATTGCCGACGCCTGCGACCTAACCATCGATGAGATGGAGAGTGCGGCGACCACCCTGCTCAACGGGGATGTGTGTCCCCGGGCCAACGGGGACCTGGGCCCCGTCTCGCACCGGCAGGACTACGAACTGCAGGACTTCGGTCCCGGCTACAGCGACGAGGAGCCAGACCCCAGCAGAGAGGAGGAGGACCTGGCGGATGAAATGATCTGCATCACCACCTTGTAGCCCCAGGGCCGGGCAGACTGGCTCTGGCCTTGGGAGGGGCGCAGGAGGGCCAGGGGAAAAGTGCCTCGAAGTTAGGACAGTGTAGGCACTGGTCGGGAGTAGATGCTCGCTCAGACTTTCGGACAAGTGGCGTCATGCCTTGGGAAAGCCACGAAGCTGGTGGGATCAGGTACCGAGCGGCCGGGCACCTCTCACTCAGCCCTGGCTGCAGGAATCGGCAGGCCCCGCCCTCTGGGAGAGCAGGATCAGGTCAGCCCAGCCCCGCCCCGCCCAGCTGTCCGGCCGTGCACTGAGGTGGAGTGTGCACCTCCCGTGTGTACCTGGAGTGCCCGCGGCTCCCCCCCCCGGGGGGGGGGGGGGTGGCGG